CTAAATAAAGTTGACACTCTTCCAAATCCACTTTCATATTCATCACAATAAGATTCAACATCCTCCAAAATAGTGGGATCAATACTACCTAAAGTTGACACTCTTCCAAACCCACTTTCATCAATATAATCATCATAAATAGGAGGCATGCTGTCATCATAACAAATATTCTCATCAAAACTTGGGGGACAAAGAATATCATATTCATCAAACATAGCATCCCCAAGCTTGTGGCTTTGCATATCATTAGCATCATGGATATTCAAAGAGTTCATACTAATAACATTACAATCATGCTCATCATTCAAAGATTTAGTGACAAACATTTTATAGATTTCTTCTTCTAGCACTTGAGCACAATTTTCCTTACCATCATTCTCATGAAAGATATTAAAAAGATGAAGCGTATGAGACAAACTCAATTCCATTTTTTTGTAGTTTTATTTTATAGACTAAACTAGTGATAAAACAAGAAACAGAAAGATTTGATTGCAAGATCTAAAGATATATCTTCAAGCACTCACCTCCCCGGCAATGGTGCCAGAAAAGAGCTTGATGTCTACTACACAACCTTCTTCTTGTAGACGTTGTTGGGCCTGCAAGTGCACAGGTTTGTAGGACAGTAGCAAATTTCCCTCAAGTGGATGACCTAAGGTTTATCAATCCGTGGGAGGCGTAGGATGAAGATGGTCTCTCTCAAACAACCCTGCAACCAAATAACAAAGAGTCTCTTGTGTACCCAACACACCCAATACAACGGTAAATTGTATAGGTGCACTAGTTCGGCGAAGGATGGTGATACAAGTGCAATATGGATGGTAGATAAAGGTATTTGTAATCTGAAATTATAAAAACAGCAAGGTAACTAATGATAAAAGTGAGCGTAAACGGTATTGGAATGGTAGGAAGCAAGGCCTAAGGTTCATACTTTCACTAGTGCAAGTTCTCTCAACAATAATAACATAGATAGATCATATAACAATCCCTCAACATGCAACAAAGAGTCACTCCAAAGACACTAATAGCGGAGAACAAACAAAGAGATTATGGTAGGGTACGAAACCATCTCAAAGTTATTCTTTCGGATCAATCTATTCAAGAGTTCGTACTAGAATAACACCTTAAGACACAAATCAACCAAAACCCTAATGTCACCTAGATACTCCATTGTCACCTCAAGTATCCGTGGGCATTATTATACGATAAGCATCACACAATCTCAGATTCATCTATTCAACCAAAACAAAGTACTTCAAAGAGTGCCCCAAAGTTTCTACCAGAGAGTCAAGACGAAAATGTATGCCAACCCCTATGCATAGGTTCATGGGCGGAACCGGCAAGTTGGTCACCAAAACATACATCAAGTGGCACATGATATTCCATTGTCACCACAGATAAGCACGACAAGACATACATCAAGTGTTCTCAAATCATTAAAGACTCAATCCGATAAGATAACTTCAAAGGGAAAACTCAATTCATCACAAGAGAGTAGAGGGGGAGAAACAGCATAAGATCCAACTATAATAGCAAAGCTCGGGATACATCAAGATCGTGCCATAGAGGAACACGAGAGAGAACACGAGAGAGAGAGAGAGATCAAAACACATAGCTATTGGTACATACCCTCAGCCTCGAGGGTGAACTACCCCCTCCTCGTCATGGAGAGCGCCTGGATGATGAAGATGGCCACCGGTGAGGGATCCCCCCTCCGGCAGGGTGCCGGAACGGGCCCCCGAGAGGTTTTCGGTGGCTACAAAGGCTTGCGGCGGCGGAACTCCCAATCTATCTTCGTTGTTGATGTTTTTAGGGTACGTGGGACTATATAGGCGAAAGAAGTCGGTTGGGGGGTGCTCGAGGGGCCCATGAGACAGGGGGGCGCGCCCAGGAGGGGTGGGCGCGCCCTCCTATCTCCTGGCCTCCTCGAGGATCTTCTGACGTGAACTCCAAGTCTCTAGGATCATATTCTTCCCAAAAATCACGCTGCCGAAGGTTTCATTCCGTTTGGACTCCGTTTGATATTCCTTTCCTTCGAAATACTGAAACAGGCAATAAAACAACAATATGGACTGGGCCTCCGGTTAATAGGTTAGTCCCAAAAGTAATATAAAAGTGAAAGCCCGTAATCATTCAAAACAGATAATATAATAGCACGAATGCTTCATAAATTATAAATACGTTGGAGACGTATCACAGTACTACCGCTGGCTCGGCAGGGGCCGGAACTAGCCCTATTGTGCTAAGACAAAGAGCAGTGGAACCGCTGGCGTGGTACTACCGTGCCCCCTTGCGGTACTACCGCAAGGCAGGGATAGTCAAGCCAGAGGAGGCACGGACATAAAAAATTACATCCGTGACTACTTCCGCTGAGTTTAGGTTTATGCAAAAATCCGACACGGTACTACCGCAAGCCCAGCGCGGTACTACCATGTAGGGCGCGGATGTAAAAAGTTACATCCGCCCCTACTTCCACTCATGCTGTTGTGCTAGGCCGGGGCTTACGGTACTACCGCGCCGAGGGCGCGGATGTAAAAAATTACATCCGCGCATACTGCCGCTCGGGCAGTAGCACCTGACCTGAAACCTAGGGTACTACCGCTTCCATGGAGCGGTACTACTGTCAGCACTTGCGGTACTACCGCGCAGGAAGCCAGTACTACCGCAAGGGCATGCAGTAGTACCGTTCTGGGGAGCAGTACTACCGCCTGCCTCAGAACAACAACATTAGGAGTCTTTCATTTTGCCTAGACAAGGAAAGACGAAGGATGCTCCAAAGAGCCAAAGGAAAGGTGGTGCAAAAAGGAATACATGTGTACGTGAGATTCCACCCAAACCTTTCCAACACGGACCCCGTCTTAATAGTACGGCTTTCCTACGACTTAAATCCACCGAAAAGAAACGTAGAGAAACACCGTCTTCAATAGTCTTCGAGGGACACCAAATCGTCTTGTGTTTAGACATGATATATCTGAAATGCTCAAAGCACACGATTAGTCCGCAAAAGCATTGTCATCAATCACCAAAACAACTAAGGGATAAATATGCCCTTACAGGAAGACCCTTGCATTTCTTTTATTCCAAATGATCCAGGTGGTGAGCAAAGTGAGGCCAACTTATTCAAAAAAAATCCAAGGTCAACTCCAGTGCACATCCCATTTCGTCTGCGTGTGTCATTTGGGTCTAAACGGAAAAAAATGATGACCCAACGTAGCGACCCATCTCATTATTCCGTCCGCTTTGAATGTGCTTGGACCAATTTCCGCCCCAAATTTGGGTCAGATTTAGGGTCAAAGCATACCCAAACCAGACGTTCTACGCGTCCTCCTCGTCCATTTGGGTCTGCTGCAGCGCCCGACCTGAAGTTGGCCCCTCCTCTGCATCTGCTGGCGGCCACCATTTCCTCCTCTTGCGTCGCCTTGCGCCATGGCCTGCCCGAGGCCTACATCGTCACCTCGGCGGCCCCCTTGCTTGCGCCATGGCGCCGCTCTTCGGTCTGTCCGTGAGTCGGGCGGGGACAGCCGGCTTCCCCCCTGCGAGATCTTCCGTGGCGGCCAGCTCCTCCCCTGCAAGCCCAGCGGCTGCTCCCCTCGGGCAGAGCACGCCAATGTCCGTCTACTCCATGCGGCTGCTCCCCTGTGAGGCCGGCAGCTGTTTTTTCTTTAAAAGGTTGTCCTATCCGCTCCAAATAGGTCACTCGCGTTGGATACATATGCTCTCTTTCTTCCGACGCGTTCGTCTATTCGTTGTCCATTTTGCTGACCCAAACGGACAAACTCAGACAAAGATTTATATCTCCCGTTGGAGTTGGCCTAATTGCTTCTCATCCCTTGTTTCACCTACGTGACCTACCCTGCTCCTCTCCTCATCCCCTTCCACTCGCCGTGCGCCCGATCTCCTCGTCCCGGGCGTTCGGTCGTCACATAGCGAGAGATCCCCAAATCTTGTGAACCCTATTTTTCCGCCCACACCATCCAATCTAGGGTCCGCCCTGTCGCTGCGCCTCGTCCCCCGACTTGGATATGGTGCCCCCCTCCCGGGGCGTCCGGAACTTTCGCTACGGGATGCCCCATCTGGACCGCGTTTCACGGTGCGCTCTCTTCAGAACCCTGCAATGCATGCTGCCGGTTTAACACACAGAGAGCATGTGCGTTCACGGCTGAGCTCCTTAATTAAATCGAAAATAAGTAAATTAACCATGCTGCTGGAGATCTCTTGGCTCTGGATTGAGACTGACATGGATTACTGACCGGGTTGCTCTTTCGGTGCAGATCTGCTTATATATCCATGGTCGTCATGGCAAGAAACATTGCAGTAAAAGGCGAGAATACATGGGGCAAGCCGAATTGGCTCTGCTGCCTCCTTTGTTGCAGTAACTATTTCTGCACCAATGGCGGCAATATGCCATCACCGAAGCCATGGATAGAGCAGAGATGAAGGGGCGAACCTCTTATGGTGTATATACAGCCCACATCCTTAACAACACCACCCATCGGGACGGTTCTATATACAAGAGACACTCTGGTTTTCTAGGTTTATGGCCACTTACCCGACGTGATGAGAGTAAGTCATCCTAATCTCTTCCCTATCATAATCTATAACGTGGTTTGGTTGATCGATTAAAAATGCATTATTCTCTACATTGTTATAGAGAATATATGAATTAGCAAAAAAGTATTTACAGGTTGAATGCTTTATATAAAATTTCTAGATATTAATTTGTTTATATATCATGCATGGTTAAGGTCTTAACACTAGTTCTTTTTAACAAATCAACACTTTTTTGTTGCATAAATATGTGTCAGTTTTACTCATAAACCAACAAGCTCTGACTCATGAAGCTGAAAGACATTATGCTTATTTTTATCATTTTCCCTAAATTAACACAAATATGTGTTGTCAAATCATAATTATAATTCTACTTCTCGTGAAAATAATTGTCTAATTCATTATTTGTTGAAATAAAATATTCGTAATTTTTTCATGAAGCACAACTCGAGCCAATGATGTCCTCGCAGCCCATGAATTGCTCCCCGAATCGGGAAAAATGTGATATACATTATGCAACTCATATGATGCAGATTTTCTCATTAAAATTGGCTAAAACTAGTACCAATGTCGGCTTGGTACAGCTTTATGGATATATAGCAGTGCGGGATGATCATGATTCATTGCTTAATTATGTTGTCGATCGTAGCAGAGATGATCCCATCATTGTTGATCAGGTGCACATCTTTACATATATGCAATTATATTCAGTATTGGATTCATTTAATAATAAAGCTCGGTGTCTTATGCATAAAGCTAACTGATTGAGATATAAATATTTGTATGTCATACTATAACCATGTAATTAGTGTTTAAGAGTCAAAGACTAGTGAGTCATAAGTTTTGTTGTTGACTTGATATCTTGACTCGACTGGTTGGCACATCAAGCGACTAATGGACTAGTTGCTGATTAACCTCGACTAGTCTTGCCCTTTAAGTGGATTGGTTCAAAATTAGCCCACGGGTTTCTTTTAAAAAATAGGCCATTGCCAGGTTGAATAAAAGTAGGCCTAAGTTCAAGTTCATTCGTTGAACGGTAGTCTCTTCGATGGACCCACACACATTCCCATCTCAAGTCGTCTCGTAGGTGTTGCTAACCTCATCCTTATGCTGACTGTTTTGTTGATCCCTCTACCTATGAGTATGATTAAGGCTGCACCAAGCAACGTTTCTACTCTTTTTCACCGACCAACATTACCGCTTACCGCATCGGCTGCATCCCCTGCCACCTAGTCGGCAGACAACATGGCACATGTGCGACCACATCCGCTTGTTCGCACCGAACGCGTCGTGCTTGCAGATCCTCAGCACGCCCCTACTACATTGCCAGCATGGCATGGCATGGCATGCCATCTTAGTGTCTTACACACTTTTCATCCATATCTGTCCCAAAAAAATGTAGAGCCTGTGTTAGTGCTCTCTCTTGTTATAGGACTAGTGATTGGGACCCGCCATTGCGGGCTGCTAGAAGAAAATTATGCGCACCTCACCTTCATCTCGAAAAAAATTATCACATTACGTGGACATTACAGGCATCTCAAAATGAAAAAGAAAAAGCCTAGAGAAACTTTTCTCGAAAAGAAAAGAAAAAAAGTCTCACTGCCATTTCAAAAAGAAAAAAAATCTAAAAAATAATAAAAAAACATTCTCACGGTGACCAACCAGCATGTGCCATGTGGTGTAGCTGGTTGGCCACTATTCTACCACACCTTAATGGGTTTAATTGTCCTACGGTCTCTGTAGCTATAACTCATCAACTTCTCGAGAACACTAAGGTTCGGTCCCATTGGGCAGCCAAGGAAGATCAAGAGGATTTTACTTGCTGTTTTTTTTCTTTTTTTCGAAAAGGAGGTATACCCCCGGCCTCTGCATCTCTTGATGCACACATCCATTTATTAAAAAGTATCTCAAAGGTTCCAAGCGGAGGTCTCAATAATAAACAAAGGTTGTACTAAGCAAAGAAAAGCCACAAGCGGCCAAAAATAAAAATCACAACCGGCGCCAGAAAGACTAGGAGACTAAACGTCTATCCTATTATTGGACCGCCATCCAAACCGGTTGTAAGTATCCCGTGCAACCATCTCCCATCGGCTGCACCCAATATCCATACGCTCCCTGTGGTCCGCGCGACTGAGTAATGACCACGTACGGATCCAAGTAGACGCTCGGAAGATGACCTGCAAAAAGTTGGTAATGGTTTGTCTGTTAAATGCAACGTCATTGCGACAATTCCATAGAGACCAAAGTAATGCACATGCTCCCACTCGGATATGTGCCGCGGACTTTGGCTCCACTCGAGCCAACCAGTTATCAAACAAATGTGGTATCGTGAGAGGTGGAGTTATGTTGAATGTAACATGGATAGTTCTCCAAAGCAGTTTAGCAAGTGGACATTTGATAAATAGATGTTCTATTGTTTCATCCTGATCACAAAAGCAACATCTTTTACTTCCTTCCCACTTACGCTTAACTAAATTATCTTTAGTAAGAATGACACCCTTATGCATAAACCACATAAAAACTTTTATCTTCAAGGGCACCTTAACTTTCCAAATATGAACCGTCCTCGGGATAGTCCCGGTATTAATCAAATCCGTGTACATGGATTTAACCGAGAAGACACCTGAGCTGGAAAGCTTCCATTGCAAAGTGTCTGGTACATCCGAAAGGTTAACCTCCATTAACCTATGCACAAGATGTATCCACCTCGTCCAACGGTCGCCAATAACAGATCGTCTAAACTGTATGTTAAGTGGAATAGTACCCAACACTGTAGCAACGGAAACCTCTTTCCGTTGCGCAATGTTGTACAGGGATGGATACTGTAAGGCCAGCGGTGAATCTCCTAACCAAGTATCCTCCCAAAATCGAGTATCCCGTCCATTCCCGATGAACCCTCATTTCCGTTACCTTTACCTAACGTAGACATGATTGACATTCGTGCTGCTTATGGATTATAATTTATTTGAGTGATCTATTAGTGAGTTATAGGTATCTAAAGTAAAATCAACCGGCATAATTCTGGAAGCTTACTTCATGTAAGGCAATTACTTAGTACAATAATTTATTTTCTTTCCTTCAATGCATATGAGGGTTCATACCATGAATTATCCAAACACACTAAATTTGTTGGCACATAAACTAAATACCCTTCTCTCTTGTTGTCATAAGTGAAACAGTATTCTTCACTTTTATAGGGCCTCTTTAATAGAAAGGATTTCCAATAGATTTTTGAAGGATTCTAGTCCGAGCGAAAATTCTTCCTACCTCAGGGTTGCAAATTATAGGATTTTTTCTCTCTCTTAGGATTCATTTGCACTATAATTCATTAAAAATCTATCCACTCCAACATTTTAGGAAAAAAAATTATGCTTTTCTTGTCCACAATCAAACATTCTTTCAGTCCTCTTATACTCAAGATGGCACAACACTGTAATTTGTGCTTTGGTGTTACCACGTTTTGGGAATCCTGCAATCAAACAGGTCAAACATTTGAGGTGGTTGTACTTTGATGATCTCATTTGCATCATTGTATGGATTCATTTATGCAAATGCATGTTATATAATGATGGGGTTGACCTTGCATATATTAGGCAAGTTTGTGGTTAATTATCTTGGCATGATTTAGTTGTGTTATATATGCAACTGGATTATATTTGTTGACAAAATATCCCAAATTGTTTTGTTTTCGAGGGTTTAGATTTTATGCTATCATTTATCTTAGATCTATTGTTTGGCTAGAAAGAAAAGTGATATTTCTTACTTTACATGAGGAGCTACTAAATAATAATGGTTTTGCAGGGTTCTTTTATTGGGATGACTGGCCCTAAGCGATACATCGCAATGCTAACCCCTGTTCTAGTTGAGTTTGACACGAGGATCAAGAAAGGAGATCAATAAGAGGATGATCTACAACTAATTGATGGTGCAATAGAGTATGGCAATCTATGCCCATCTGAATACCCATTCACAGATCGTATTAATGGCGATTGTGGCACGGTTGACATCACTTTAGCCCTCGTTCGTTGGGCATTTGAGGCCACAATAGATGTTGCCGTATCAAAAGTGCAGAGTAGATTCGATTTATCTCTCAGTTCGTTTGTTTTTATTATGGATGGGTTGCATGAGATTCAACTCTTTCGTGGCAGTATTGGTGAGTCGTGTGGCTTAAGAAGAAGACATGTGATCGCTGTAAAGGAGGATACTTGGATGCATTTGAAGTTCAAGGTAGGTCAGAGAAGTTGTAAAAATGATGGTGATCTTGATCGCCATTGTTCCTTCAAAGCAAAAAAAAACACGGGTATGATTGTGAACAAATCATGCTTGAGCTTGCCTCTATCTCAGTGAAGGTGACTTGGTCGAATGTGCGAACTGCTCTGAATTATAAGTCAACAACCGTCCAGTAATTACATCAAGGAATTAACAAGGAAAGAAAATACACAACGACCAATGTGCAAATGTAAAGCACTCTTTCATATTTGAACTTAGTTATGTTATTTGATCTTGCACTGGATTTAACTCTACAAGGCACTAGACAAATGCACACTTACTTTTTTTTTGTCGATGTCACGTTATTTGATCTGGCACTGTATGTATGTCTATTTGCTACTAGTCCCTCCGTTTCTAAATATAAGTCTTTTTAGAGATTTCAATATAAACTACATACGAATGTAAGTAGATATATTTTAGAGTGTAGATTCACTCACTTTGCTTCGTATGTAGTCCCTATTGGAATCTCTAAAAATGCTTATATTTAGGAATGGAGGGAGTAGTTACTAATTTTGTGCTGGAATGTCTGTGTCTTCTCTGTTTCTATGAGAAGCATATTTTCTGCAAATACTCTGAGAATGCCTGATCATATCTCCTTTGGAAGTTGTATTGATTTCATTGTTGTACGACATGCACTCTTTTTTTGACAAGTTTGACAGATTTGCTGCAACAAATACTAGAAAAGTGGGATTCATTGTACGAAGTAGATAGGAGGCGCTGCTTGAGAGATATTGTATGAAAGAAAATCTGGAGACCTCAGAAAAAGAAGAAAGAAATGCAACCAAGATGGTCTAGTCGTGTATCATTCCAACCAAGCTTTTAGTTCCATTCATACATGCGACAAAATCCGAAATTCAGAGGTTCGGTGAAGACCTAATCATCATTCCAACCAAGCTTTTAGTTCCATTCATACATGCGACAAAACCCGAAATCCAGAGGTTCGGTGAAGATCTAATCATCATCTTATCAATGAAGATGGGCCATGAGTATGAATCTTTAGGTCCTCTTTGATTCGGCGGGAATAAGAAAAACATGGGATTAGAGTGGAATGTCGTCTTAAATCCTACAGGATTGTACGAGTGTTGGATTGTGCATAGAAAAAACGCAGGATTCTTTCAAAGAGGTTTGAGTGGATGAGATGCTTCCTATGAAATCTAGTGCAAATGAATCATATGAAAAAATTCCTATGGTTTACAATTCTACGAATCAAACAATCAAGATAGGAAAAATTCCTAAAAGTTAGAATTCTCCAAAATTCTTTTGAGAATTCTTTGATTCAAAGAAGCCCTTAATGTAGCCAAAAAACGGTGGATTGGTCGTCAAAAGCATGATGCATGTTAATACATTGTTGGTAGATTCAATCTGCAGCCTGGAGCCAGGCAAACACAAAAGGAACTGCTGCTACGGTACATCAGACGCATGGAGCACACGCCACCCGAGGTCCGCCGCATCGTCTGTTACTGAGGATTGGATTTTGACACTGGAAGAGCTGAAACGCTAGCTTGCCCAGACAAACAGGTGCCACGACGATGTGTCCGCAGATGAAAGTCCGCCGTCCTACAAGTACACATGGCTATGTAGCATAATTTATGGTAAGCATCCACCGTGCAGTATTTGAAGCACATTGTCTCCTCGTCAAATGGATCAATTTTGCTAATCTGAGGTCAGCTCTTGTTTGTATTTTTAGTTCTCCCTTTGTCTCAAAACAAATGTCGCTGATTTAGTGCAAAATTGGTACATTTTTTGACTGTGAACTTTTCAAATTCATAAACATTTTTTATATCCATGTAAAAAAAACAGCAATTGTTGGTATTTTTTTTAACGAGCAATGAATGAGCAAGGCCTTTCCAAGATAATCTGAAGGGAATTGTTGCTGGGCAGGCCTTCACATCATGCACAGTGTGAGCTTTGCTCTTAGGCTGGGCGAGCCATGGCCACCTTTTGCCTTAACGTAGCTCCGCCTCTGCATGCCAACTAGATGTGAATCCTGTTAGAGTTATAATATAAGTCATGTACCCCTTTGTATTTATCCCGTTGTATAAGGAGTTTCCTGTATATGTTCCACACCTGTACATGTATATATATCGGCCTATGGCCTCATGGGAATACAAGTTGCTTATTCCTACCATGGTATTAGAGCTAGGTCAATTTTTTACACGCCGCAACTCGTGTGATTGATCCTCCCGTGGCGCCGCGGCTGCTTCTCTCTCCGCCGCCGGTTCCCCACGTCTGCTCCAGCTGCTGGTTCCCACGACCGCTCCACTCTTTCCTCGATCGAAGACTGTCGACACGAAACCAGTCTCCTCTCTGCTCGACGCGAAGCCGCCGGGAATCGACGCTGCCCGCCCGCTCGCTTCTTGCCCGACTTCTACTCGAGCTCGGGTCGAAGCCCCCGCCTATTCCGCTCGTATCAAAGCCCGCTCGGATCGGCCTGCCCCTTTATCTCCCAACTGGATCGGCCTGCCCCGCCCTGTCTTCCACTCGAGGCGCCTGAACCGCGAGTACTGCCCCAGATCGAATCCTCCCACCTGGATCGCGAGTTCAGCCCCAGACCGAAGTATCCTCCCGCCCGGATCTCTGCTGCCAGCCGTCGTTCTTGCGGATCTCTGTTGCCAGCCGCCCCATGATCCTGACGCTTCCCGATCCCGTCCAGTTCCCGATTGGACGTTGTGGTCTCATCCCTGGTGCTCGTCTCGGATTCTGCTGCTTTCGGATCTCTGTTAAAAAAATGTCTGCTGCACCGGGTTATGTTGCTGTCCCTCGTTGTCCGGTGATCTTCGATGGTACTAACTACACCGAGTTCACTGGCTTCATGTGCATTCACATGCGTGGCATTCGTCTCTGGGGTGTTCTTTCTGGCGAGGTCTGCTATCCGCCACGTCCGGTTCCTCCGGTTGCCCCTACTCTGCCGACTCCACTGGTTCTTACTACGGATGCTAATCAGGCCGCCAAGGATGCGGCTAAGCTTGCGGATGAGGCTGTTGATCGTGCTTATGATGAGAGGGTTTTTGGCTTATGAGGAGGCTCTTCAGACGTATCATGGTGCTCTGTCTGTTTACACCCAGTGGCTTGATGATGATGCTCGTGCTGCAACTGTTCTCACTCTAGTGTTCTGCCTCAGTTTGCATCTGAGTTTCTTGGTCTTCCTACTGTCTTTGAGATGTGGACCTGTCTTCGTCAGCGCTATGAGCCCTCTGGTGATGCCCTATACCTTTCTGTGGTCCGTCAGGAGCATGCTCTTCAGCAGGGTGCGTGACTCTACTGTTGATGACTTCTATGCACAGAGTTCTACTATCTGGCGCCAGCTTGATTCTCTCTGCAGTGCTGGTTGTCGTACTTGCCCCTGTTGCCAGGCTGTCCAGGCCAATTTGGAGTTTTGTCATGTCTACGAGTTCCTGTCTCGGCTCCGTAAGGAGTTTGAGCCTCGGCGTGCTCTGTTGTTTGCTCGTGGCCGTATTTCTCTCATGGAGGCACTTTCTGAGATTCGTGCTAAGGAGACTCGCTTACGTGGTGCTGGTTTGCTGGAGGTTCCCTCTGTGCTCGCTACTCGGGCTTCTTCCATGCCACCTGCTGCACCGACCCCTTCTCGCTCGAGTGCTCCACCGCTCTTGCCCACTCCTTCTGGAGGCTCAGGTCGCCCCCGTCCACATTGCGACTACTGCAACAATGATGGTCATATTGAGTCTCAGTGCTACATGAAGAGGAAGCACCTGTGCAAGGCGCGATCACCATCTTCAGGGACTTCGTCATCTACCTCGACAGCTTCAGCCATTGCTTTGACTGAACAGGATATTCTATGACTTAAGCGTCTGCTCGCGGCTTCAGGTTCTTCTTCGATGGGTACTATTGGTTCTGTGACTGATGCTTCCCGCACTGAGCAACCACCCTCTACACAGTCAGGTACATCCCCATGGGTTCTGGACTCTGGAGCTTCTTTTCATATGTCTTCTCATTCTTCCACTTTGTCCTCTCTTCGATCGTTGGATTCTCCTATTCATGTCCTCACTGCTGATGGTACTCCACTTTCTGTCGTTAGTAGAGGCAATCTTACCACTCCTTATTCTGTTCCTAATGTTGCTCATGCTCCTCGACTTACCATGAATCTGTTTTCTGCTGGTCAACTTACTGATTCTGGTTGTCATGTCATCCTTGATGTTGACTCTTGTTCTGTTCAGGACCGTCGCACGCACACTCTGGTTGGGGCTGGCCCTCGCCGCCGTGATTCTCAGGGTCTTTGGGAGTTGGACTGGCTTCATGTTCCTTCCGCTGCCACCACTATCGCCAGTTCCTCTGCTTCAGTCGCCTCCGTTACTGGTTCTTTCAAGCAGTGGTATCATCGACTTGGTCATCTGTGTGGTTCTCAGTTGTCGTCTTTAGTTCATCGATGTCTTCTGGGGTCTGTCTCAGGAGATGTCTCTTTAGAGTGTCAGGGTTGTTGTCTTGGCAAGCAGATTCAGTTACCATATTCACATAGTGAGTCAGTGTCTAAGCGTCCTTTCGATTTAGTCCATTCTGATGTATGGGGTCCGGCTCCTTTCGCTTCGAAAGGTGGTCATAAATACTACATTATTTTCATAAATAATTTCTCTCGTTATAGATGGCTTTATTTCATGACTTCTCGTTATAAGTGT